GTCGGGACCAACTATGTGTGGTCCCAAGGAGGGGGATTGGTCAGGAGTGAGTATGATTTCATCATCGTCCAGACCGTTGTCGTTGCACATCGGAGGGGAGTCGAATGAAACGGCGGATAACGGAGGACTCAGCATGCCATCGTCCTCATTGCCACGAATTCTCTTGCTGCTAGGCTCCAACGAGAAGTCTTGGAGATGAGCAGGATTGCGAGCATAACCGTTACCGACCGCCGAGATCGCGCCATTAATAGTATGTTGAGCCAGGTACATCTGATGTTGCATGCTAGTATTGATCGCTAGGCATCCGCTGGCGGAGGAACCGGTGCTAGAACAGCTGGATGTACTGGTCGTAGAACTATTGCTGTTGCTACGGGAACGGAAGCTTTCAGGGAAGATCTGATCGTCATCATCGTCAAACGGTTGACGCAGGTCGAGTTGAACATGACGACCTTTGAATTCATCGGTCGACCTTTGCTGCGACGGTTTCCGTTTGTCCCTATTCGTGTGGGTACGCCGGTGACGTGTTAGCTCGTCGGATCTCGAGAATCTTTTTTCGCAACCCGGAAAGTCACATCTATGAGGTTTCTCGCCTGTGTGAGTTCGAATGTGACGAGTTTGATGTTCCAATCTAAAGAACGCTTTATAACACATGGGGCATTTGTAGGGACGGGGAACATTCGACTTATCGACAGCTGCGTGCGTCCTTTTCTTCGAACCTGAAGTGGTGGTTGGCAGTGGACTGACGATAGGTGGCATCGCACGCTGCTCAGAACTCAAGTCGTATAAGTGTGTAAAGATGGGCACGGCGGAGGGCATTGGAGAGGAATGGGAAGGGTGCAAAATTTTTGCTAAAGCTGCTGCCATTTTTTTTTTTTAATTCCTTTTTCTTTACAATGAGAGAGGGGCAAGTTAAAATTTTTCAGAGGGAGTGCGTGGATTGATAAGAATTTTCGGTGACCAAGTAGTAATAGGTACAACTTTTCAACAGATTTTTCTGCAAAAAATTGTTCACAGCTGAGAATAGAAATTTGAAAAAATTTGTCGTTGTAGCGGTGAACAGAAAAAAAGAGGTCGTGAAAAAAAAAAAAAAGTTTTTTTTTTTTTAAAGCGGACAAGATGATTAAAAGAGAAAAAAAGAAGCCAACGCAATCAATTGAAATACCTTCAATAAATTATACTTTGGCTTTCTTATTCAGAAAAAAAAATATGAGTATTTCGTAGGGTGGCAAAAAAGATGGATGAAAATCATGGAGAGGAAGGAGGAAAGCCGGGTGGTCAGAGGAATTTATATGCTTGTTTCGTAACGTAAACACAGATGAGTTTGTTTTTTTTTTTTTTTTTTTTGACATTTGATTAAACAAACAAAATAGAGGTACTGTATAAATTTATTCAATAGGATAAAACGTTGCCAATATTGCATAACACTGCTTACTCTAATAATCTGTAACGTTGACATAACAAGTATATACACACACACATATATATATATATATATCGTTATTATATCATTTAATAATTTAGATTACGATAACAAATAAAAAAGAGACAATGAAACGTATGTCGGTGTATATAAAAAAAAACAATACGACCATAAATTGAACTATTATAAAAAGAAGAAAGGAATATATTCCAATGCACAACATATGAAAATTTCATCGTCACTTTTTCGAGAAAAAAAATTTTTTTTTTTTTTTTTTTTTTCATTATTTCTTTTAATTTAAGAGGTATTATTATTATTTTATTATTTGTTTGCTTGCTCGAGTGTATGTATATGTAGAAAAAAAAATAATGTAAAATCCTTTTTCTTTCTTTTTTTTTTTTTTTCGTCCTACACGCCAAAATTCAGATTTTTTTTTTTCAAAAAAGGGTTCAAAGCTTGGGGGAGAGAAAAGTTGCGTTGACATGTGAAAGCGAAAAAAGAAGTATGGTAATTGAAACAATTTATGTTGGAATTAAAATTAATTATCTACATAAAATAATAATAATAATAATAGAGACGAATAATAAGCTCTGCACCAAAGGAATTTTGATTGTGTCAATATAATATATACACAGGGTAGGACAACAAATCACAAACAATATGAAACGTTCACAATACCCAAAACCGCACGATACGTAATATAATATTAATGACATATGATGTTATCACTCGCATCACTTATCAAAATGATCGATCGATTATTCGAAGAGTTGGATTGGTTGAAAAGTCATGCGTATACAACTTTTTTTTTTTTCCGGGTCTGGTAACCCAACTCAGGCATCCTCGTCACCTGGGCCTTATAAAGACGGGATCATTCGGGATCTTCGAAATAATAGCGTGAAGTGGCGACTCGAGGTGGTACGAGGCGCAGCAGGAACCACTTAACGTGCGGTATTCGACATCGCATCTTCCTTGACAGATTGATGATGTAAAGGTTTCCTTAAAAGTGTTTTGTCGTGTGTGTCCACGTTTTCATTTCAAAATGTTCTAAAAAAATTCCACATTCTATCATTCCATTATACACACAACACAATCTAACATTCGTCAATTGGGGGCAGCAAGATCAATCTCATATTATTTTTCCATTCTAATTAGGGTTAGGAGACCCCGGAGGTAATTTACTGAAAAAAAAAAAAAAAAAGTGTGAGAATTTGACAGGTGGTACGTGGGACGCGACATAATCATATGCTCTGTTGTCCTTGGTTGAAACCATATCATACGAGTCACTCTATCGTGTGTGTGTGAATTTGGCTCTAATTATTTTGTTTCTTTTCTTCTTTATTCTTATTTCCTTTCCTTTCCTTTCCTTTTCTCTTTCTTTCTTTCGTTCTTTTTTTCTTCCACCTCATCAATCGACCGCTAATCATCATCAATTTCTTATCATATATTTAACCACGCTTGATTGCTAAATTGGTGAAAGCTCAAAGTGCTATCGTAGAAATGTTAGCCAAAAGGAATTTGATGACATGATCAATATGAAAATCACATTTCATTATGACACTAACCCAGTTTTCCTTGAACATAATATCGGGTTGCCAATTAATTGTGTCTCCAGGATGATGAAAGATTCCTTTGTGCCACCATTACATAAATTGTCTTTGTGCAACTAACAATATCCCGCATTTCCCTCATTCTTTAATAAAATAATTGTGGGAATAACGTGTGATGCATGCACCCGTTTTCTATTCCAAAAATAATCGACTGACATTGAAGGTGTTTGTCCATTTTTTTTTTTTTTTTTGTGCGTCACCGTAGAGAAAACAATGGATGCCCATGAACTCCGCTACCTTTCTTTTCTCGGATCGTATTGGAGGAAAAAGTAAGAAGGCACGTAGTCATGAATTATACTTGACCGCCTACGTACGGTACGCAATCACTGCACCTTCACTATTATAATTCTGTTGCAGATTGACGCGGCCCAGGCATCAACAGGGGAAGAAGAATTGCAGCATTTTGTTTTTCACCCATAAATTACTTAATTTTCCGCCGTTCAATTTCTCCAAACTGCCTTTAAGGGAACTTCTTACATGCTTACATATTTCGAAATACACGTGCGGGTTTCCGTATCTCCTTCAGAAACAATTATCATTGCATGGTAAAAGAATAATCGTAGCTTGTTCTCTTGTGATAATGAAATAATACAGTATAATCGATATGACGGAAATTAAAATGCAGATGAGGTAACCACTCATTTTCCGAAAATGGAACTTAAGAGGGATTTGGAACAATGGTAAATTTATCTGCACGCTAGCTACACTTGTGCGCGCATACAAAATGTATGAATGCTACCTACATCCACAATCCATACCACTTTTTTTTTCTTTTTTTCTTTTTTTTTTGGATCAAGTGACGATACCTACCCAAGGAGAAACATAATGCAAGTCGCACTCATGATAAATTCCCGATAAAGTAAATTATATATATATAATTGTGGTTCATGGTGAACCAATTATCGTCTTAACGACAACTGCAGGCCAATAATCTCCAAGGGAAATAGAGTTTTATCGAGATGTCATTTGCATCGAATGTCAGGTGTAGTGAAGAACCCTTGGTTTTTCATTTCCTTTCTCGGTTGTTTTGTTTTCTTTCTCTTGTTAGTCTAACCTAAAATTTTATGAGGCAATGAAGTTCGTTTCATTCAAGAAAAAAAAAAAAAAAGAAAAGAAAAGAAAAAAAGAATACATCTTACATTCTTGCCTCATTTCCCCACAAAACAAGTCTTCATAAAGAAATAAATTAAGAGCAACGGTTTATTCCTTATCTACCGGTTGATCTAATGCATGCCTTACTTAGTGATTACACTTGAGCCCGTGGTCCAAAGTTTTCTCACCTTGACCCAAACATTTTGGTGAATTGAAAGAAAAAATTACGTAGTGCCAGCTGTATCTCGCCGATCACCAAATGTGCCTCTCAAAAATCTAACCTGAAAAATCACCACTCGACGGACGGACGGAATTCTTTTCGGGTCTTTTCACCCGATGCGCAGATCGACTCCTTTATTGGAAACGTCCATGTACGACCAAGTGTGAAAAATACAATAGGTGCAAAAAATGGTAAAAAATAGTACGGGTATACCATAAATGCATATACTTTTTCGGACCACATCCTACGAATTGGTTAGTCCTCGCATTAAAAGATTTCTCGTTCAAAAAGAAGCTGCGAGTATAATTGCCAGAATTTTATCCCAACGCTATTCCACTTCCACGCATCTCTCCATGCACGCGGTCAAGTTTACCTACGCGCGCGCCATCTCTTGAGGAGACATATGCCAATCGCCCAAACAAGCCAATTTGTAATTGCGAAGGCGTGGCCACATGAAATACGTCATTTTCGGTTTCATCGATGCGTTTGGTTATTGTCATGTGATGTCAATGTATTGTCGGTGAGTTGAGTTCATTTCTAATGAACCGCAGCAGCTTATTTCATATAAAGGTTTAAGTCGATAATAACATTAGGACCGATCATGAACCTCTCGAGCATTTTACGTTGCGTTGCGTGCGTGTTGCGATCACAAATATTTGTTCTTTGAAAATAGGAATTAAGAATTTCAATTCCTGCATCTGCGTGAGTCTCTCGACCCACGTATAACTCAATTCCTGCGGCTCACATGTGCAAGCCATTAGAATATGACATGATGATTCACCAAACTCGAATTTGTGTTCTATTTCATGTGCGATGACATTTTTCCGCTTGACCTACCACCAGTAACCGAGACAGCATCGACGAATCGCCTTTTTTCTCTCTCGCCTTTTTTCTTTTTCTTTTCAGAACAATGAAACTCATAATCTCCGATTGATTTGATTAAAACCAGGTGATGGGCAAGAATTAATTAATTCCAATTTCACGAGGCAAAGCGTTCCACTTTTTTTTTTTGTATTTATTGCTAATAACGAATTGCCCATACGGTATGCACGAACTCATGCCATTTGCTGTTGAACTGTTATATACAGTACGTTTTGCAATAATATTCTAATCCTACACACCCCATCGACGCATGGAAGTATTGCAAACGTTGCTCGGGTCTAATCTAAATTCGGTGAGGATCACCCGTACGCTTTCAACAATAGTCCACACGTATATAGATGAAACTTTGATAAGTGCAGGGTAACTAACAACAAGTCGAAATTAATGTTTATACACGCAAGTACGTATCACAGCATGATTGATCTGCCTGGGCTGCATACCTTTGTCGCTGAAAAATGGTATGACAGTAAGTTCCACTTCTGGCTTCCTATGTTTACACTGATCAAATGCCATTTATATTAATTCAGTTTCAGAAGATATTGTTTACCCGAACCTTTGCAACATTAAAATATTTACAATCATTGTATATTCTGTTTGTCAATGATATCCGCGTTCATCTATTTATTATTTATTTATTTGT